TCGCCGGGAGCCCCGTGAGGCTGCCAGAGGCAGCGACTGGAGCCAGCTGCGTGTGCCCAGGTGTGTTTGCATGCATGTGTGCTTGCACGCGTGGATGTTTGCATGCACATTTGTGTGCGTGCATGTGCATGCAGAAATGTGTGGGGTGGGGAATCCCTGCCCTCAGGACTTGTCCCCTCCTGGGACACTCCTGCAGTGCATGGGGGACATGGCATTTCAGCTGGCTGTGGATGAGCCCCTCTCAGAGCAGCCCCTTGAAGAGCATGTGGTGGCCGCTGCCCCGTGCCACTCACCACGGTGATGTTGAAGACGTAGAGCAGATCGAAGGGCAGCGCGGCGATGAGGTCCACGAAGAACCACGTGGCCACGTAGTGGATGCAGATGCAGCGGGGCTCGTACACCACCTGGCCCGACTGGCTCACGTAGGTGGTGCGGAAGTTCAGCACGATATCTGCGCGGCGAGCACGCCGGCCTCAGCACCATGATCCCCATCCACCTCAAACCGCGGTGGCACCAGCACAGAGATGTGCCCAGCAATGCTGACACGAGCATCACCGCTCCCTGCTCCTCCTTCCGCCAGGAGGAAGAGCTTCCCTACCCAGGATGAAGAGCATCTCGACCGCGATGTCGCTGACGATGGTGCTGCGCGCGGCCGAGGCGCTCTCCTCCGTGCCCGTGAAGCAGACGTTGTAGGGCACGGTGACGGCCACGTAGAAGGTGGCCAGCAGGATCAGCCAGTCCCAGAGCGCCTTGAAGACGCTGTAGTGGAGCAGGATGAAGCGGGACTTCTGCATCGAGGCCACTTTGTACTCGGGGATGGACGGCTTGTTCTCGAAGACGTTCTGCAGGAAAGGGCACGGATGGCACCCGCCGGCAGGCACCAAGGAGCGCGCAGATCCCTCTCCACATGGGACCCCACCAGCCCAGGGCTCCCTCTGGACTCGTGTTTTCCAGGGGCAAACACGGGCTGCGTGGAGGCTGCCCACAGAGATGGGCACAAAACACTTGCTTTGGCAGACAAACTAAGGCTCTGCTGATGCTCTTAACAACGGAGGCTCCTGTGCACAGACCCCTGTCCCCAGGCAAATCCGGGTCCCCCTCGGCTCCTTACACGGTTGAGCTTCACATC